AATCTTGAGACCAATTCTGTCTGGTCTGTCCCAGGATTGCTGCATTTCTAATGAGCAAAAWTSAYCATGATGAATMGAACCAGTCTAGTGTTTCTCATGCAAAARCCGTAGCACCYTTACTTTTCATMAAGGAAGGTGAAAATATATGAAAAACATCTAAAAACTAAATAATTTCTTTATCTGATTAAGGCCATTGATTGCAATACAGCTTCTTAACTATAACAAAATAACATGTAAAACCCATTATCAAAAGTCTGACTATATATTCAGTTCTACAAAAGAAACTGCTCTTTCAGATGGACATGACTTTATATTGAAGAATGTTTCATCTATTTATTTTGATGGTTCCAATAGCTGAGGTCAGATCTCCCAGGTAAACATCTTCATACTCCTTCAGAAAGGTTAATTCTGTAAGTAAGAAATTACAATTACATAATGAAAAACAAAGAGGTAAACTTGAGGCAGGAGACAAACTTTATGCTTTTCATTACAGTACAAAAAGAGAAATAAGACCTTTTCAGACAAGAATATGCAACTTCAAATCTTCAAATAAATGCTAAAAGTTCAAGACATACCCATTTTTATCATAAATGTCGCCATAACACATGGTTACAGGATCTAGAAGTTCATGTTTCTTTTCTTCTTCAGTTCTTTTGATCTCTCCACGAGCTATTTTTTCATTTTCCTTAAAAACAAAACAATAATAGTCATCCTCTGATAGAAACATGATAGTACAATGGAGGACTCTAGAGAACAAAATACAATAGACATGGTATGCATGTGGAAAAAAATGTGATAATAGGAAGATGGGTGAGGGGGAAAAAAAAGATGGGATAAAGGGAAATTTAAGATTTCCTATCCAGACTAAAAAAACTTTATACTTATTTTTTTTCACATTTTAAGGTGGTTGCAAAAAAGAGAGTATAAAATTTTATTGTGGGTCAGTCCCCTTCCCTTCTACCCCTCCCCCCATCCTAAAAAAGGGGTGGTCCACCGGCTCCGTAACAACTTTAACTCGCAGCAACACTGAGTCGCAACAACACTTTAACGGCTTACCTCGCATTCCTTATCAATTCTTTKGCGGTAAATGTAGCGCATCACATTTTCAATAAACTCTAACGTTTGCTTATCGTTCTTAACCCAAAATACTTTGTGCTGTGGAATTTGCAGGACATCTGCAAGCCGCTTTTTAAAGTTGAATATTTCAGCTGAGTGAATACTGCTCAACCATAGCGGCTCCTTGCTCTGGTATATGACACCAAATAGATTMACTCGTGAAAGTTTTTGGTCTTCTATGTAGTCTTCTATTCCTATTTCACGYCTAGTTTTTGTACCTTCTACTCGAAGAGAATCATAGTCTGTCACGTAGAATAGAGCTTCTTGTTCGTTCGYRCGCCAGTCGAATTTGGTACCCAGGGTAACAGCTTGCAGATTTCTAGTCGTTGCGGGAAGATGATCCATCGCGTTTGGTACTAAACTTGGTACACTGATTGAAGGACGACTTGTGTAAAATACAGGATGGTTTACAACAGTTTCTAAGAGTTTCTGGCATAGTTTTAGAGGGTTCTCGTCTGGACCCAAGAACAGTAGCTTAGGATCGAAGTTTCGCGTTATAATCCTTTGTTGRTTTATAGGCGGGTTGTCGTTCGGTGTGGAGGAGAGTTGATCCATAATGCTCATCATGCCAAGTGGATATAAGATATTCATTTAGATTCACTTTTATGTGATTTCGGTTTTTCTGTAGATTTGAGATCATGGACTAAGCTGTTTGAAGGATACCGTTTGAAGAAGCGACGCTGTTATGGATCGCTGGTCTGTAATATCACCTGGCGTCCCACTCCTTGAAAATATACACAATGTGTGTATTATAAGTGATAGAACCGGCTATARAGAAACATTCTTTAACAATATAAAAAACGGTATTGCACGTGAAATCYTGCAAAACCTCTACTAAACACCTAAAGGTTGCCAACACTATTCAAAGACTGTGGTCGAAGCCGCAAGACATCACGTGACACTTGGTTATAAAAACAAAGTCATGGAACAATAGTGTTATCAAAATGGACTTCCACTTGTGAAAACTGAACTAAGTTGGCATTGATTGAACACTCAAACTGATTAATATTCGAAATTGAAGGTATCTTACCCTGCAAAAGTTTCCCTTAATCCCATAATGCATTGTGCGCCCAAAAGACGACTGGGGATGAGTCAGATCCGAATTCTTTCGTGAATCACGCGACCAGTTGTTCACTCCGAATCACTCGCGCTTTGTATGTTCTTGGTTTTCAGCTTTTTTCTTATTAATATATTAATATGAAGTTATTCACTCTGTTAATTTTTTATGGGTTGTTTTCCGATGATTCCGCTGGATAGCGTTTTTCAGAAGGATAGCTAAACTAATGGTATAGAATACGTCGCCAGTGATACTTTGGGATCAGGGATCAAGAAAGGAGTCAGCTGTGAGCTATGCACGAGATCCCTTATTTTTTTGGGATAAAACAACTTTAAAAAGAAATTTTGGCCAAAATCTCGGCCGAAAAAATAAGGATCACGAGCTAAAAATGAAAATTAAAAAAAATATATTTCCGTGCGTCTGCTAGTGTAAAAGAAACACAGATGACGTCAAAATGTGACGAGAACAACAACAACAACAACAAACAACAACAGCAACAACAACAACAAAAAAGTTGACTATGCAGTGTTCTCGTCGCATTTCGACGTCTTCTGCGCATCTATTAGACTTAAGTCTCGACGAACGGAAAACTCGAATCTATTTGTTTTTATAAAATAAAAGCTCGTCTTGAAATGGCTCGATGCAGGATCTGAAGTTTTGACGCTGTGTCACGACTTAAAACAAAACGGTGTACGAAACATAAATTTTGCTCGTCAGTACAACTAGAAAATATAGACTTGACAATTTGGTGTATCAACACTCTCGATGATATGCCTGACATCATTTCTACAGAGAAACGGCGATCACGTGATTAGTTTTGAAAATGGCGTTCGCTGTAAACGTAAACCAGGGCGAAAGGAGAGACTCGCTCGGCTTTCGCCCTGCGTAAACTCTCTTACAGTACGCCCTCAGTTGATGCATGGTCAGCATGCATAGCCAGYGGCTTCAGCAACWATGTAATGCACTGCGMAATGATAGRATAGSTCAATGAATATGTYATGTAAGTAATGCTTCAAGCTTTAATACAAAGCAGCGTTTTTATACACTAACAATTTTAGTTTTAGTGAAAAAAACATTAGAACTGATGTTTATTTTTAAAAAGAAAATTAATTTCAACGAGTAAGAATACTCGGAGGCAAAATCATTCATTCAAAGCGCGATTATTCGCTATTTTTTTAGTTCTATCTACGACACTTCCACAGTAATTTGTACTGCTATAAGTAGAAGTTTTTCTGAACGATAACTGAATAAACTACTCAACAATAAACCCTATAATAATAACAACTCTTAAAATATATGAATGATAATGTATGTTTGAAAAAAATATAAACAATAATCATGATTTGAAAATTTATAACAATATTCTAGCCCGATACCGAAAGAAGTACTGTCCAAGAATTTGCAAGCACTATATATTACAGCTACAACAAAACTACTTCACTTGTTAAAAATACTAAACTACTCAGTATTAAATAATATTATTATTGATAATATATTGTTATCACTAAGCTCGATTATGAGAAAAACATAATCCAGTAGTAAAGTGCTGATCTAGACTCCAATATTAGCCACAGAAAAGCCGTTCCTACTGTTACGAAGCTGTGTGAATAGCGTCCACTTCTCCTCATCAAAGTCATATTGATACGCTGTGTCAGTAACGCCGTCTGCTCCAAAAACAACCAAGTTATTATCGACCAATAATGCCCTGCTTAGTGAGCTAGGGATCGGCAAAGGTGMAATGAGCGACCATTCTCTCGTTTTCTCGTTTAACACTTCAACATCGTCGACATCTTGTCCCATTTCGTCACACCCWCCAAGAACGATGAACAGTCCATTTCGCATCACAGCAGAGCACCCGTACCGTCTTTGCTTCATAGGAGGAAGGAATGTCCATTTTCCTTTAACACCGTCAAAGAGTTCCACAGATCTCATAGCGCTGTTGAAGTAGAACCCAGACCCTCCACCAGCAACWATTACTTTATTGCCAAGCACAGCTCCACCGAAGTTACACCGTGGGRTTTGCATRGGACATAAGGTATACCATTGTCGCTTCTTTACGCTGTACAACTCTGCACTTTTTAATACACTACCATGTTCACACCCACCACAGACAAAAATCCCATGGTCAGTTCCCAGGGCAAGACCTCCCCATCGCCGCTTYCTCATATGCTCGATCACTTCCCACTTTTTTGTCACGAAGTCATATTTCTGTACAGTATTGAGGGCCCTCCAACCAGCGTAACCCCCTACAACGACAATGGCTGGTATGCCAGGGATCTTAGTTGCAGTACATGCAGTGGTTTGTATAGGAAGAGGACTAATGGTCTGCCATTTGTTGTTAAAGCAGTCATACACTTCGACTAGCGACACAGGATCGCCGCTACTGTCGTTAGATCCACCAATGACGAAGATGTGATTATGGACTTCAATGATGTCATAGCCTTTCTCGTAATCCTCTGCATCACARCCACTGCTTGAACTGATTTCTATCTCGACTCGTTCCTTTGCTTTGCTASAAAATTTCGCTTCGATTTTTTCCTTGAGTCCGCTTTTAATCGCTTTYGCGTGAGTRACAACTAAAGAAAACCTTTCATTCAAAGAAGATTTGGAGTCGGTACGAGGTTTTTCTAGATCCTTTTCAAGTCGTGTTAAGTGCGTGTCGTGAAGGTCGACCTCTGAAGCCGATCTCTTCGTCCATCGTATCTTGCTATCGTAAGGTGACCTGCCGAGCTTTTCCTCTATTTTCTCAATAATGTTGTCTGGCATTGAACAAAATCCTGTGAGCCATAGTTTGGCATCATGCAGCACAGATGTGCCCATGACGACCACAGCATCGATGAATCAGAACAACCTTGATATATACTGATTGTGTTTTCACTCGAGTTTGAGTTGAATGGCTCGATGACTCTGCAAGAGAAGAAACATCTAGATTATATAACTGTAGACTTTGAACTGCATAAATTGTGTCTATTGCTCGAGTGCCTTTTCATGCTCACCCAAGCACAGCAGCTAGTCTATTGTTTTACAGGAGCTTTATCACTTTATTATCACATAAAATACAACATAAATATTTATCAAGTAGCGACTTTGCATAATTTAACTTATCTTTTGTCACATATAACACTTATATAAGTTTGACTGATTTTAAGCCAAACAATCTTGTAGCGAGAAAAAGTAATTTCCATCAAAACACTTTGCTTGCTATATTCCAAAATAATTTATAATAAATGACATTATTAAACTAGCAATATCTAACTTTCTACACATCAATTTGAAACATTAAAAATCAATATCGATAATAAAATAAAAATATACGACATTCCCAATTCAGTCCAATTTCAAGTTCACTCGAAAAAGTTTCAATCGATGTACCTGCTATTTTGTAGAGTAAAACGTATTTACGAAATTTTGGAATATGGCCAACTGGTTCTCGTTATTGAATGGAATAAATGCAGTGAAAATAAGCCATTTGAAAGAAAGTGTTTTAAAGAAAACCGGTCAAAATTGACAATTAGAAAATTGGTTTTCGTCAATGATAAAACACAAATTACTATACTTACTTAATAAACAACAAACTCCCAGCTTGGACAGCAGTGGTTTTACGGTCACATCTAGAAATATACTCGTTATTTATGTTGAATATTCAGAAATTCTTCACGATAAAACTTGTTGCGTAGAAACATGCATATACAAATTCCGCCCAAAATGCCCAAGTCCAATGTAAACATAAAACGACGTCATTGAAAAGCTTCTAGTATTTAGATTCTAAAGAATCTCTTGTTATTCTATCGTAAAAATATGGGGATTAAACCACGTAAAGCGAGCTGTAAAATTGGCACTTGATACATTAATATTTAACCATCAAAAATGCATTGTGGGCATAGTAAAACGGAATTTTAGGAAAATGGTTGCGTGCTTGCGACGATAAGAAAATTATTCCAAGGTTAATTCAGTCAGCACGTAAACGTGRGGCCTTTCAACGATAAATCCATTTTAATAAAATTCAACTCGTCCAAACGTATCGGCAAGTTTTGTCCGTCCACACGAATCCAGATTTTATACTTGTAAATTCCCAATTAGAGAATCGAAAAACGCAGTTATTTCTTTTAATACTGATTTATTATTGTAAYATTTATTTATTATTCTATTATCACGAGTAAGCATACAGTAAAGTTGAGTTATTATTGATATTCTAGTTACGCAAGATGGCTTCGTAGATTTCCTGGGCAAACTGCACTACRTCTGTCGCGCGAGTCTTCAACGACAGCTGAAAAAAAAAAATACAATTGCTTAAATAAAACTGATACGACTTGGAAATCACTTAACATCAAATAAATGTATAGATGAAAGACAAATTGAAATTGGAGGTGGAAATCGTGACGTATAAAGTGGCAACTTCGTCTGTGGATACAAAACTCCTTATCATTGTTTAATAAGATTGTTTTGTAAGATTTTCATTAAATTTGGTTCTTTTTGAGAGTATCACAGCAAATACCACCAGGTTGGTGCTGTTGTTATTTATAAGTGCTATTTATAAGTGCTGTTGCTGCTATTCAATGTTGTAAATGTTGTTATTGCTGTTGTTATTGCTGTAGTTGTTTTCACCACAATACTTGAATAGTCTTTTTCTTGTTAAACTACTAACGCTATCTTTTCTCTTTACCTGGACTGTTGGATTTCCTGGAATCATCTTGAGTTCAGCCATGACCCAGATGCCATTAGTAAACTTGAGGGATTGGTACAGCATGTCTTGACCTTCAACTGTACGCTTGGCGATTGTGAAGATGTTGTTMGCCTGAAGCTTCTGCTGGGCAGAGTCTGAAAACAAAATAAAATACAACTTCAAATAAAACACTCAAAATGTTCACTACCGTGATAGACCCAACGATCATCTTCGGCTGCGCCTCGCGCTGGAAATAATAGACCTTTTCTGAAATCAGGGTTCGTGCTACATTTTCACTACACAAATCCAGGACTTTTTAAGTACTCTTTAAGCTCAAGATTGAATTTTCAAGGACTATTTTGAAGATATTTTTTGATGTTTGATAACGTTTCCAGTGGTATTTTTTTTAAATGGCCACAATTCAATCCAAAAGCTAAAAAGCAACATGTCAATTTCATCAGATTCAATGAGTTTTTCAGGAGTTTTAGCGAGAAGTCCTAGCTTTCAATTCCAGGACTTTTTAAGGATTTTAAGGAGCAGTACGAACCCTGGAAATACAAAATCATGGTGCATTGTGGTCTAGCTTCAGTACAAACAACGCCATATTTGGCAGCATGAACAAAAGATGTTTGTACCGAATCTAGACCACAATGCAATGCAAACTGCTATCTAAGAAAAGGCCTATTGCGCAGACCATAGTTAATAGCGCAGATTTGACAGTCAAGTCCGACAATTATACAACCTGTTGCCAATAATAATCTCACCTGAAGTCAGATTTGGGATTTGCATGGCCTTTTGAACTTCGTTTGAAGCTGGGATATCTTTCCAGGTCGAAAGGAAKACTTTACGATCTACAAGAAGATATTTCATTAGATGTTATCTAAAGATATATAGGTAATTAAAAAAAACGTTGTGACAGAAAAAAACTTTATCAATTCTGGAATTAATCAAAATATAGAAAAGAAAAGAGTTCGGCGTGGGTGGACTTCTTTAATCTCTTAAATTTCAGGAGGTTTTTGCAATAAGGTGTAAATTAGACCTTTTATCAGGATAGATAATCAAAACTTGGCTTTTCGATTGAACCAGATGTGAACCATATGTTGGGTTTCCTGTGGTTGAAWGTTATAAAAAAACTACACTTCCACTTCACCACAACTCTAGCCACACGTGACAAAAACAATTTATTTAGGCTTATTGAACTCTAAATGAACAAAAACTAGCTTCGTTTTCTAGGWATGAAGTGGTGTTTGAGGGATGGGAGAGTCCCAAAGCTGAAGACWATAATGTTTCATACAAGACAGTCAGCATAGACATAGAGGACATTACGAGAGCGCGCGGAGATAAGGATTTTATYTTCGAGTTCGAGATTTTCAACACGAGAAGATAAAATTTGTATCTCCAAGCGACCATGTAATATCAAAGTAAATCATGTCGTAAAACACCTTTTTTTTCTTACTTCCACTATATAGAGAAACCTAGAATGAGTTATTTTCACTAGTGAAAATGTCAACTTTACGTAAGGAAGAAATATAGGTATTTTATAGGTAATTATATGATAATACGAATTATATCCCAAACTATCGTACCCATTTGTCCATCTTCCATGAAAAGAACATTGATGTTAACAAGTGCGCTGAAGTAGAAGATATCAACATTGTTCTTGAATGCAATCTGAATGTTTGTCAATGGATCCATGCGAAGTACTCCACCCACTGAAAMAAAATCAATTAATTTTATCACAACAATGCATTGGGTAACGTGTARCTGGCTGGATTTGGTTGGGAAGTGGCGGACAGACAGACAGATGACATAGTAGAGATATGTTTTGCTAGCAACTATGACTTAATCAGCTAATAGAATGAAATGACAGGAGAAAAAGAGAGGAAAAGCCCTTTCAATTGCACAAAAAGAGAAAGTACAGTGACTTACTTGTRTTGAGTGGAAGCGAAGTGTTTGCAACTTGGTTTGGCGGGAGTGGTGTAGGTACATTTAATGGCGATGCAGGCGCTAGACCAAAACTACACAGAAAATAAATAACCATATAAAATAAAATATAGGTATAATAACAACTTAGTGAATAATTGTAACTTTTACACTTAGATTAACACTAAGGATTCTGAAATATCTGTGAAAAAAGATGGAGAGGCTTGATGGTAGATGGATTACCTATTCTTGTTCAGTTGAATGGCCAGTCCATCCATGGCTTGCATTGCCTTGTTATGCACTGTGAGATCCATGTATATTTGTCCCTGGCGTCTAGAGAATGTACCTTGAAAGATTCAATATTACATAGTTGTCAGCTATCTACAAAGCTACACATAGTAATTTGATCTTTAGCTCCACACAAAGCCAAAAAATCGTTGCAGGTTACACTTTTCATGTTTTCACCTATTCTTATTTAACGTTTTTTTCTTTCAACACTAGCKTTCTCGAGAATGGTTAGATATGTGGATGCGACCAACATTACTGTGAATAAAATAGTTTATAGATCCAAACATTCCCAGCTACATGTTTTCAGAGCGTTRCTGTCCTGTTTGTATAGGAAATCACACAACCTTGAGTACAATTTCGAATTAATAGTCACAAGTAATGTTTTAAAAGTTCTTAGTAACTGCGCAAGCCCTTTAAGGTGAGTGCAATTTGASAACTTTCAAAACATTAKAAGTGACTATTAATTCCAAATTGTACGAGAGGTTGTGYGATTTTTTGTTTATAGTACGTTCAGTAAAACAAAACTTTATAAGGACCTCGAGTACAATTAAAGTTGTAATTGTACTCATCTCGACCAATGAAAAAGTATTATTTTGTTGAAYGTACTAAAAGTACTATAAAAACTGAGAACCAGTCTATTATTATAACAACAGCAAGTCACTTGTAATTTGATGATATTAGATACCTGAGACCTCCAGTCCTTTGCCTTTAGGAGCAGGAAGCCATAGCTGTGGAGCAATAGCAACATAGTATCAGACTATCTTGACAGTTTATTTTACAATACAGCTTGTACACTTTTCAAGATTTAAATGCCAGGATGTTTCAAGACTATTTCATCGTTTTCAATGAATAAAACACATTCAACTGAGCACCATGTTGTGAATCGTATGGTTGATAGTTCAACATCAGGCATTTTATCAAACTCAAATTTAAGTAAAAAAAATTATTCCTGAAATACAAGTAATCATAAGGACACTCAAGGACACACAAGGATAATCATTGAAAAAAATCAATGACTTTTCAAGCCTGTAAAACTAAAATAACAAATTCTTGATCTTCCAGATTTTCTTGGACGAGTACAAACCCTGTACAATATCACATACAGACTTGCGCTGAAAAAATAAATAATGAAGTAAAGATAAAAGCTTACAGACTTAGGAGGACTGTACATTGTAGCACTTAGTCCAGGAGCAGAAGCTAAGCTAAACAGATCACCAAGACCTCCTACAGCTTGTGGTGGAGGTTGTTGAGGAGCTGGACCACCAAGCTGTAAGTAAGAAAAGTTTTCATGTTAGATAGTCTTACAGCTTATCTTATTTTACTTATTTTTAGCTTTAAAAGCACAACGATATAATWATAAATCAATACACCTAATTTTAAACAAACAAAATAAATTAAATACTTCAGAAAATGGTAGAACTTTACTCATTTCAGTCTTGGTTGTTCATGCTTTGTTTTTATTYATTTTCATTCATTTATTTACTTATACTTTCACTAATCTATCCGTTCATTTCATCATCCATTCAGTCACCCATTCAACTATCCCTTTATCCATTCTTTCATTTATTCATCCACTTTTCATTTATTTTACTGATGTTTACCTGTAAACCACTGAGATCTTCACCAAGCAAGTCCATTACTCCACCACCTGASGACAATTATTGAAACCATTTATTGGCACCATTTMGTGAAACAAAACAACGACATYCAAAGACATTACTGACCACAATGTTGAATAAGAAGCCATACAAACCTGCAGGRGCTGCAGCTGGTGGTGGTGCAGCAGGCTGTTGGGGGACAGCAGGACCCATGTCCATCAACAAGTCACCAATCAAACTGTCTGCTGCAGGAGCCGCTTGAACTGGTGGTGGTCCTGCTTCAACTTGGGCWGCTACTTGGGCTACTGGAACAGCATCTGCCGTCTCTGCACCTGTAGAAACAACATGGATGTTACTAACTGCATTCAGAGTTATTAAAATATCGGTATAATGGTAAAGTTATTGTGGCAAAGAAGTATAAAAATGGAGGCTTTCCGATTTGATGTCAGTATTTCTACCTGGTGAAGGTTCTGCTCTAGGTGGYAGGGTAAACCTTCTTGCAGCAGTACGTCCTTCTACAAAAGARCTTGGCGGCTTGTGGTAGACTGATGCTAATGTAGAGATATTGCAGATCARTTCATCAAGAAGGGTTGGCTCAAGAAGATCAGTCTCTTCTGAAATCAATGGCTTCTCAGCCAGCACAACTTCCTAGAAAGTAACATACATTAGATGTWAGTACAGAAGAAATGAGAAATGAAGAGATAGAAGTCAAAGGGAAAGAAAAAACAAATGATAAGTTTTAGTTTTTAGATTTAAAAGCAGTTTTTAGTGTGGACAGTAGATCATCTGCTATGCAAACCAAAGTTGAATTGATGCATTTTTTGTACAATGATTAATGATCAAATTCAATACTAGTCTTCTTCACATCCTGAAAAACAGGAAGCCCAAYRAAAGGAGACTTWATTGAATACCTTTGCTGCAACTGGATCAGTAGACAGCAATCTCCAGTATATGTACCCTCTGTCTCTTAAATCAGGATTGTCTGAGTCTTGTGTGGCAAGGCTGAGTACTTGCTGGACCAGTTCTTGAGTGTCTGTAGGTCTTTTGAGGAACAGCTTCACTATAGAAGTCAATAGCTGTAGCTGGACCTAAGGTAATGACCTCAGTTAGTACACACAAGTATAATAAACATTTTCAAATATACACAAGAATATTTTGAGAAGAAAACAGAAGTCTTTGGTCACTGAATGTATGCCATAAACACATTCAACAGAAATCATAGGCCTTGTCAATAATTAGACAGGGATTATGTATCTGCAAATTAGGATATACATATGGTAATATTCAAAAGGATTCTAGGACTATGGTAGAAATTCAATATAAYAAAAATATCTTACTTGAGTGTTTTCATCTTGGAATCCCTCCAAGAACGATTCAAGAAGYTCTGAGGCATTGTCAATTCTCTCGGCATACTCTCCAATGATCCAGATCATTGATGCTCTGCAAACATCAAGAACTATTTCAGCAAAGAACACAAACACAGGTATGGTACATGCAAGCTATTACTCCCAGGTTATTAATTTTATCTATCAATAGCTGATCAAGTTTCATACACTTTTATTACACAGTAACTAAATCATTATTGTAATGGTGGTTACCCAACAAAGCTTTCAATCGAAGCTTCTATGTTCTAAACACCAARAATTGTTGAACTGAGTGTAAAAGTTTTAACCTTTATTTCTTTTTGAGAAGATAACCTGGAAACATTTGTCTTTATCTCTGTACAATATATATTACTATATAATATTATCAATTCAATGCAATTCAATTCAATTTTATCATCAAGAGTTATTGTACAATAAGTAGAATCAAGATATACATGTGATACAAATACAGATTTTTGATTTAAAGTTCAAAAATAAAGTAAAATAAAGGTGTAGAATTAGTACTCCTGGATGGTAGGCAGCTCAAAAAGTCAACATCACATTATTATCATAACAAAGATCTTACCTTGCTTCAGGTTCATCCAGTGAGTCCAGGTTCTCACACAATGTAGAAATAATGCTCTCATACTTGTTAGGGTACTTCCTGAAGATGTCCTACAAAGCAAGTTACACATAAATAAGCAAAGGAAGAACATAGAAAAAAAAAGGCACTCAAACTATACCTTGATAACAACAATGGCTTCTTGCACCACATAGTTGACTTTAGTTTGGATAAGGTCAAGTAAAGTACTCACACACCTTTCAGCAGACGGCTGCAAACAAAAACGCTCATCAGTAATTGCTTAAATTTGGTGCAGTTAACCTGACAAAATTATTGTTATTATATAGTGTACCTCTACTTTGATAGCACAACGGCCAATAGCACGGACAGACTTTCGAACAAAGTCAACATCCACTTCAGTTGCGTACCTAAAATAATGAAAGTCATAAATGTACATATGGGATTATATAAGTTGTTTACATTGGAGGTGAAAAAAACAAAAATACTTACTCTTTAAGTTCGGCTAAAACTTGAGCAATGTTACTCTCACTAGCCAGTCGGATCATAATGTCAAGTTTCTCAAGCTTAACATAGATGGGGTCATTGTACTTGACAAAGAACACCTTCATCTCATTCTTTAGAATCTCAGGTCTGAAAAACAAATAGTGATTTTAAAACATTTAAATGTTTTTCRCATTGTGCATGATAACAAAATAATAAAATATATATACCTGTACAACATGTAACAGAAATGCTTTGTTATCTTTTTGTTGTTGTTGCTGTTTTTTTGTGTTATAATTTTTTGGGTTTTTTTTCTTGTGTATAAATTATGAACCAAATCTAGAGGACAGCAACTATGTAGCTTTCCCTCCTCCAAAATGTAAATAATGGTAGTGCATATATTTTATCTGTGTATATTGATTATTTTGCAATAMAAAAGGCACATCTTTTTAGTTGTTTATTTAAAATAACAACATCATGCAGCCAAATGTCTCACTGACAAGTCAAAAAATAAAAAAATAAACCAACAACAACAAACCTCAAATCCAAACAAGATTGGAAGAGTGGAATCAATTAAATTATAATAAATTAAATTATAGATTTTACAGCATTCTTTGATAAAATTACAAACCAACCTTTTCTGGACAATCAGGTTGATATTTCTTAGAGCAACATACTGCACTTCTGGTTCACTTGAGAGGAGAGTCACTAATGAAATTAATAGCCTTAAATAAGTTCACAATGCTAACCATTATACTCATTTCCTTAACCTAGTCTAACTTTCTGCTTTGTGTCAGTGGACAATATAGCTTAAGTCAGCAATACAAATACAGTAAAATCTTCTAAATAACTAAGGTTACCTAAGGGGGGAGCAAGCTTCTTCAATACGCTTTGTACAAATCCCGATGAGGGGGTCATCATTTCCATATACTTCATCAAAACCTGACATAAAATGAAGATTATTATTCTCTGATTAAAAAATAAATAGATTTACTTCTTTATTACAGGCAGCACTGTAGATTTTGCTTAGACCCTTGCAGTTCATGGGAATGCAGGTCCAACTGGAGGACATACCAATGGATTCTAGTTCCCATGAGGACAATAGTCTTTTGTTTTGTCCTCCAGATGAAGCTATGTTGACTTTGATATCACACATAAGGGGCTTTTAGTTTACAAAATATTTTAATGAAAACCTTTGAGTTTAGTATTAAGTAACATTATCATTCTCTATAACTATAGGTGCAAGTTTCATGAGGTCAGTCATCTATATAATAACATATAATAATATTATAGTACCTTGATTGCAGATAATACCACAGCTGCATTAGCATGAGACAGTCTGGGTGTGACTCTTTCACAAATACTGCAGATAACAGATGTAACAAAGCATGTCACAAAATCCTGAACAATTTGATTACTAGATAAATGCAAAGAAGGCAATTTTATTCTATATTCTACAAAATACCTTTGAGCTTCACGCTCATCTTTAGGTGTGTACTGAGCCAGCGAATCCAGAATGAAAATCTGTCCCCATCTGAGGAAAATATTTTTAAATGTTTAAAACCATTTCATTTGATGAAAAGAATGAAAAAGAAAAGAAAAAAATGAAGGAATTGATGCACGAGAGAGACAGGAATTGCTGGAAAGAACATTGTTCACTAAAATACAATTAACAGTTTGATGAATGATAAAATTAAACATGGATGGATAATTATGGTCTTACTCTGTGCATTCATTCAAAGCAGTCAATAGTTTGTTAATAGTTTGCGAGTTCATCTCCATGGATGCAGCAGCAGTAGGGGAAGCATCATTGATCTCTGATAAGGCAGCAACAGCATTGGCAACAACCTAAAATACCAAAACATAATAGCACACAATTCTCCAAAACAATGACACTTGCAAGCAGTTACAGCTAAAACATTTTTTGAACAGCTTTTTTGCAAAAGGTTACTTTAAAACCCTGGGAAATAATTATAATTACTACAGAAAGAACAGTCACCTAATATTTTCTCTGAAATCTTTTTTTTTTAGGAAATCTTAATTTGAGTGTTCTACATTGTTTTTGTGCAGTGATTTATTTTATGTGGTTAATAATGCATCTATGTTTCTTTGAAAAGCAGTGTGGTACATGTAGACTTGACTAGCATTAAACAGCATAATAGCTCATGAAATTCCAATAACTACAAACTGTTTATTACATTGTATGCTTGCAATAAGTGACTTAGATTGACAGAAACCTACGAATATTAACCCCATTTAAAAATGGATCCCTACAATTTACTACAGAATTTGAAAATTATTTTGTAAGTGAAGAATCGCAGCAAATTTACTGTAGAGCTCCTACCATAGGGTTAGCATCAGAAAGAAGTTCCTTTAGTGAGTCCAGAAATCCTTGATCCTCAACTAGTTGTGCATTAATATCATGAAGCTTGGCCACACAAACAGCTGCAGTCTTCCTCACATAGGGATCTTCATCTTTCAGACACTTTCTCAGAGGCTCACACAGATATTCTGTAATCTTGTCAACCCTTATGCAGCCCATGGTTCTTACAGCAAGGGCACGGATTAATGGATTTGGGTCTTCACAGTCCTGCAGACAGACAATGATTCAAGTACATTACCATGACAGAATTAAAAAAAAAAAAAATACAATTGGTGTATGATTTTTGTATACAGCATATGATGGTGGAAATGATGACGATAATGATGGTGTATATATTTTTTGTCATGAAATTAAATGTTTGTTTACAAAATGACAAAGCTCACACTAGCATAAAAATAGATTTTTTTCTTTATAGTAACTATATTATAAAACTAATTTCTGAAAGTTCTTGTTAAGAACTAGTTGTTCATATTCACTTGGCAGTTCAGAATTCAATAGCTACAATGAATTCCAAGAAATTCTCCTTTGTACAAGTATAAGTTCAAGAGATATGAAGCATATGTCGTAGGACACGTGACACATACAGATCTCTCATACACATTGTACAAAACAGACAGCAATATGCAGAAATTGTGATCTTTATTGCTCATATTTCAACTACATGATTATATATAAAATATATAAGAAATTACAGGATATCATTGCCAATATTTTTTCAGAAAGTACTACAAAAAATATTGGCGATGATATCCCATAATTTCTGATACATTTTATATTTTACTTGGAATATGAGTCAAAATGACCATAATTTCTGCATACTGCAGAATTATTCAAAATAATACCAGGTAATAATATAGATAAAGAAACATACCTTCACAAAAGTATTGACTGCCATGATAGCCATATCAGGTTGTGATTTGGCATAGTTCATCAAGTACAGATAAACCAGCTTCTTSAGCTCCAGGTTATCAGTTTGCATACAGTTAACCACATCAGGGAATAGAGAGCTAAGAAATAATGACATCCATAAAACAAGATTAAGCTCTTAACTAGTCTGGAACTGTATCTGCTTCTATCTGACTATGACCCATAATTATTGTAGCTACATGTATTAATGCCTTGCAAAACTTTACCATATGACTTTCATGTTCGATAGAAATTAGAAGATACTGGGTGGAGTTAATACTCCATTTTACAGTTTTTGTGATCTTGAAAGGTAACCGAGCAGAGACAGCAGTTCAGCTTGCAATGACAGATACTTTTGAATTATCTTGGGTGTGAATAAAGATATCTATCATTACTCTCTTGCTTGAAACAAATGCTCAACAACTTTTCAAGATGACGCTTGGAACAGTAAAATGAAGCATTGGTCAAACATCTTATCAAGAACCACTCAGCATTTCTTTTCTTCTCTTGATTGAAGCTAAGYTCTAGAGTAACAAGCTAAAATGTCTGGATAACCCAACAAAGGTGTTTGGTGATCAGACATTTCTTGGTTTTAGGGAAATATAACTCACCTAACATCTTTRCCAACAGTCATGCTAGCAATAACTTTCTTGACAGCTTCTTTCTTTCTGTCCTTTTTATCACTGTTTAATTCAGCTTTCAGTTCAAATATTTCACCTATAAATCAATATTATACACACGTTTATTCCATAAAATAAATGAGCAGKATATGGGATTGCAGAATATTAAAGTCTGATTTGTTTTGGATATCAGGTTCTATTTTGTGAACGGCATGAATAAAATTATTTATTTCTATGCTAGAATAACGTACCTTTCTTGGTGGTAGTAAAGTATTTAGAGTCCGTCATTTTCTCTTCTTATACAGGTGAAGTGTAGAATCGGAATATAGCTGTAAAATTGACGTTAGAAATCAAAATCTCCACTTTCGGCAAATATGGTGAATTGATTACTTTCACAAATACTATTCAGGGGTGGATCTAGACTAGTGCCACTAGTTCCATGGAACTAGTCAAAGTATTTTAAAAGTAAAAGAATTCAATGTTTTCTAAATATATTATCGTCAAAATGCGTTTAAAAACGTATTTTTACAGATATTTTTAACGATAATTGCCACTGCCACAGGGATCCTGTGCAGCATATTCATATGATACAAAATTTGTGCGTTGGGGTAGAGTCCCACGGGAATATTGCTTTCAAATGATATGTTGTCACGCAGTTGTCCCTATATTAGCATATGGCACTGCTCAAACGTGCATCCTATTGGTTTGCACTAGTCAGCTTTGTTTTCTCATGTTTTCTGGCACTAGTCAAAGTCGATTTTCATTGGCTACTTGTATGGCTGGCACTAGTCGGCACTGGTAGGAAAGATCGAGCTAGCGTGACACCAGAATGTATTTCACAAGACACTCAAGAACAAACCTATACAGTCGATACCGTCAGAATTATAAAACATGGCTTGAAATATAAATCGTGGAGATCCAGCTTGCCGAAAGGTTCGACTTCTTATTTGATCTAGGTGTTTTGTTTAACGATCTTCTGATTAAAAACGATCAAATCACAAACGTGTGGAAACCGGCCGACAGCGCGACAGAGTTTAATGTCTTTAATACAAACTCTGCCGGCCGATAATGCGTTTGTATTCCCCGAGTCAAAAAAAGTTAGAAGAACTAGAAGATCCAATCCTGTATTGATAAAGTCCGGCTAAAGAATTGTTCGTGGTTGGCTTATTCAAAATATCTCGATGGACAACCGTCTTTCAATGCCTCGAAGGTCATTCAAACGGTATAAAATGTCAAACACACAAATACGAAGTATGAGACAAGAAGTACATATTTTGTGCCTTTCGATCAGCAGCTAGTACGTTGCTAAAGCAACAAATAGCCAGTAATAGAGATATAATCGCGTCATTCAAGACTATAATTTTTGTGGGCGCAATTATATTCCCCTACACGGCCGAGGAGTCGATAATCCGTAATGTAATATAGTTAATTTAGAGTTTCAAAATTGACATGTTTGTAATTACTAAAAAATCGTAATTTTGCAATTATGGTATATGGGGTATGGTTGGTTTGAAGGATGGCACTAGTCAACAAAAATCCTAGATCCACCCCTGCTATTATAAACAGACGAAG